CAAACTGATTACTAACATTATACAAATTGATTCTGCACAAAGGTCAAGGATGGGTTGAACTGATGACTTTTATGTAGTTTTGTTTTAACCTTAGTAGTTTAGTTAGTTTGAGAAAAGCATGGAGACTTAAATAACAAAACTAGTCACAAATCTTATTTTCTATTAAATTATTGAATATTATCATTATTTCTCAATGTCATACATAATACCATTCAATTGCATAAAATATTATGGAGGGTGAAGAAAGCTAAAAGTCTAATGACACAGTATGGTGGTGGTAGCAGTATCTTAGCTTGGAATAGAAATCAAATTTTCATCATCGATTCGGCAGGACTTAAGGATCTCTCTTTGTTTATTATTTACCTAGCCTGGTGCAGCTGTGTTAACTCAATAATTTTTACTAGGCTGTTATTTGAAATTGATTCTGCAAAAATAATCAATGATGGGTTAAAATGATTCTGCAAAGATGGTTGAGGATAGGTTGAACTGATTCTGCAAATATGTTCGAATACAAGTTGAATTGATTCTGCAAAAACGGTCGAACACTGGTTGAATTGATGCTGCAAAAATGGTCAAGGATGAGTGAACTGATTTTGCAAAAATAGTCGAATATGGGTTGAAATGATGCTTCAAAAATGGTCGAGAACAGGTTGAATTGATTCTGCAAATATAGTCAAATACGGGTTGAACTGATTTTGTAAAAGTGTTCGAAGATGGGTTGAACTGATATTGCAAGAATGGTTGAAGACGGGTTGAATTAATTCTGCAAAAATAGTTGAGGATGAGTTGAAATGATTCTATAAAAATGGTTAATGACGGGTTGAACTAATTCTGCAAATATGATCGAATGCGAGTTGAATTTGTTTTGCAAAAATGATCGAACACAGGTTGAACTGATTTTGCAAAAATGGTTAAGGATAGGCTGAAATGATTATGCAAAATGGTCAAGGACAGGTAGAACTGATTCCGTAAATATGATCGAATGTCGGTTGAATCGGTTCTGCAAAAATGATCGAACACGGGTTGAAATAATTCTACAAAAATGATCGAGGATGGGTTGAAATGATTCTGCAAAAATAGTGGAAGATGGGTTAAACTGATTCTCCAAAAATAATCGAGGAGGAGTTGCACTAATTCTGCAAAAATGGTCAAGAACTGATTGAACTGATTCTGCAAAAATGGTCAAGGATGGGTTGAACTGATTTTAGTAATAAATGATACAAACTGATTATGCGTATAGTTTCAAAATTGATTATGTAGAAATACTTGATGATGGGTTGAGCTTATGACACATATTAATTTTGTAGTAGGGTTGGTTCTATTAATAATCCTAAAGCCTTAGGGTATGACTGGTATTTTAAAACATTGTTTTCATGTTTTTGGGCTGGGCTTTAGTTATTTTTATGTTTTTGCCTTTGCTTGACATGTTTAAAAACTAGTGGAGATCCTTGAAATATAGTGAAAGTTTTGGTCTCTATATATAAAGCTCCCTTTATACTACTACAAATAAAATCCTACCTAGAAAAGGTCTTCTAAAAACTAGGAAACATAATAGAATAAGATAACTAGGAAATAAAAGGTTTCCTATTTAAACTAGAATTCGAACTGCAGAGAAAATTCATCTTTTGACCAACCATATTAACTCCGATTTGGTTCCAAAATGTCTCTTTTTAAAGCTTAAGACGTCCTTAACATCCTTAGAATGAGTCTTCCTCAAATACCATTTGACCTTCAAAATATCCAAAACGCACAGAAAAATCAATTTGGGAAAGTTGTGCGCTAGGTCTTCTTTTCCTCACCATTGTCAAATGGCTTGGCAGAAAAATCTGAAACTTTGATACAATCATCTTGAAAGATTCAAGAACATCCTCCAATTAGAATCACTCCAAAATTCATCTGTTTAATCACTTTTTGCTTAAGAGGAAGTCAAATATCCTACATTGGAAATATAATCCAAAAGTATCAAAATTCTACCAAAATAACCAATAAACTATAACTAAGAATAGGGTAACATATATGGTGTAATATGGACCCATCAATTCTCCTTCCAAGTTTTTTCTCGACCACAAACATTTTCCCTTACCGATTAAAGCTCCATGCTCTAAAAAACTCTCTCTAGAAACCCTTTCACCCCGCTTCAAACTCTAGCTTCCTCCATGGCCACCGGCTTTGACTAAGGTTGGGGGCCAGTGGCAGCATCTCCTTCACCTCCTAGCCTCCCTCACTTCTTCCCATCATTTCTTTCCCCTTTATTTCCCCCTCCCATCCCAGATTTTCTCTCGCCTTGCCATCCACCTCCCCTCTTTTCTTACGCCATCTTCCACCATCCTAGCCTTCTCAACCCTCCACCTCCTCTCCCCTCTTGTGTTTCTCCCCCAACCTTCAGATCATACCTTGTCTCTCAAGATTCACCTTGTTATGCTGCTTGAGCTCTGGGTATAGGGATGGGTTTGCGGATGCAAATAGGTCTTCTTTTCTCACAGTTTTGACTCTTAAGCTTCATGCCTCCTTCCTTGCTCAAGACCTCTTCCTTGTTTCGGGGTATAATGCGTGATTTGGGCTTGGATCAAGGCTACTGGTGGGTTGGACCACATTTTGTCACTCTACTTTGGTGCTGTGGACTTGCTGAAATCCACTCTTAGGGTTAAAGCGATGCCTCCTTAGTGGTGCTGCTTTGGTTTGGGCGTACAAATCTGGCGGTGGCTATATCTAGGCTTCTTGTTAGTGGTTGCATCTGGAACCTTTGCTGTTTGTGATTCATTGCTACTCCGCTAGATTTGAAGGGTGGCTGTCGAACCCGTCTTCTGTCGTGGCATGGCTGTAGTCCTTGCCTGAAGGTCCTATCCTTCCATCGGATGTGTCATTTTGTGGTTCCCTTCTCGGATTAGTTTATTTTAGCGTACTTTAGTTTAGTTTGGTTTAGTTTGGAGCTAGTTTAGTCTAGCTCTATTGTCTCACCTAGTGACTGTTATGGCCTCGCCGCAACGATGGTTGTATTAGGCTTTTGCTTTGAGCGTTGTATTATATGGTCTCGTCTACTAACGATGACTTTATGTGGTCTCACTCAGCAATAATTTTATGTGGCCATGCTATTTGGCGGCAACTGTTTGAAATCGCCTATACAACTTTGTTATATATCTTTTTTGTGACATGTTTGTATGGGTGTTGTAGAAAGTTGTCGTACATGTGATAGTTGCTTAGGGGTTTACTATTATTGTCTCATTTGCCCAAATTCACTTCCAGATCATTTTCATGGTCACTAGAGGATTGTACCCAATTGGCACATATATATATTGCTGTCAGTTGATTAACGAAATACAAAATATTGTTGCTTGTCAAAAAAAAAAGAAAAAAAAAAAACAATAACAACAGCATATGATTTTTTGAAGAACGTCAGTAAAACATAGAACATAATTGTTTTTCAAAAAGTGAACGTTATTCCCATTCCCAATTACTTTAGTCTAAAGTAGGAGGGGAAATCGCACTATTCATATGAACAGTGTTTTGGACCACATTTCAGTTTATTTACGAGGCTGCCACTGATTCTCTCTGCCGCTGATCTTCATGCCGCGTGTTGATAATCGTGGAAAGGCAGGGGTGCGATGGTCGTTTTAGTCTGTAGGGTTTCGAACAGATTGGGTGGGTGAGAGACTTTCATTTCCTTTCTTTCTGAGCTGAGAGAGAGAGAGAGAGCGAGCGAGCAGAGGGAGAAGAGAGAAAGGGAGGGAGGGGGAGAGAGATAGGGATTGGTGAGAGGAAGGCATGTGGCTTACAGGCAGACAGAGTCACGGGGGGTGTACAATTTGAGGGAGAGAAAGAGAGAGGATTGAGTGGTGATGCTCGATTTGGGAAGAGAAAGAGAGAGACAGGGAGAGCGCAATTTTGGGGTTATGCGACGGCGGGAGAGAGGGCGAGGGTTGTTGCATCCGTGTCACTCAAAGTGGGTTGCGAGAGAGTGAGAGTTCTGCCTTCTAGGGTTTGAGAGTTGGTTTCGAGAAAGTGAGGTGGCCTAAGTGGGGGTAAGGCTCGGGCTGGGTTTGTGGAATGGGGCTGGATTAGTTACAGACAGAGAAGTGGTGGAGGGTGTGGAATGTCAGGGAGAGGAAGGGAGAGGGAGTTCTGCCAAAAAACGTGGGTTGCAGAGCTACAACAAGGGAGATGGGCGTGGATTGGCAAGGAGCGGAAGGGAGAGGGAGGAGTGAGGCTTGCAAAAAGGGGGTTGGATTGATTTTTCCTCCTTAAATCAATGGTTGGTGTCGGGATTGAGGGGTGGGTCGAAAGTGGGCATGGTTGTGAGGGAGAGAGGGATGGCAGAGACAGAGGTCATGGAGTTGGGCGTGGGAATTCCACAAATCAGTGGTGTTAATATCAGCAATGAGCATTACTGGGATGTGAGTTCTCTCAACCTTTTGATTAATTTTTTATATTTTGGCTTTTTATTAAGCTAAGTAAATGTTTAATTTCCATTTGAAAACTTGGGGAATTCTAGGTATATTGTTTATGGAAGAAGCTCAGTCTCAAACGATCCCTCGATCTCTTCTCCCCTGCATATGGCGAACTTCCTCCTCCCTCCTCCCGACCCTGAGAGGTACTGTCGTTGCCTATACTTTCTGTAATTTTTGGGGTTAGTGAAATTATAAAGTTGAAATTGTTAGTGTTTTTCTTTTGTTTTTTGTGAACTATAAGCTTTGAAAATTATTGAGTTGAATGTCGTTTTTTTTGTTTGAAAATTTGTGCGTTAATTGTGCTCACTCTTTGTTTTTTCTTTGCAGTAAAACACTTCGCATGAGCCACAAGGTTACTGAAATTATAGATTTGAAATTGTTAGTGTTTTTCTTTTCTTTTCTTTTTTTTTTTTTTTTTGTTTTTTGTTTTTTGTTTTTTGTTTTTTTAATTATAACCTTTGTGAAGTTATTGATTTGAAGAATGTTGTGTTCAAATGAAAATTTTGATTTGAATTATTAGATAAGCATGGAGTATGTAGGAATTCAACCCAAAGCTAGCCAAAAACTGCCTCGTCGGGCTGAGTCTGGTGCACCGGGAAGTGGTTCTGAATGACTTTCTGATGCCCTTGCCTTTATAGGTATTATTTGTTCTAATTGAAATTTCTAATAAGCAGTTAGAAGTAGGGAAGTTATACCTTATTGTTTTGTGGAAGTTAAGTCTATCTGGGTATTCTATATTGCCACTGTAACATGCTTAAGCTATTTTGTTAGTTGTAATATCATGTGTGTCATGAAGATTCTAAGGAAATGTAGATGGGTGGAGAACGCTTTGGTTGTTGGTCCATCTAGGAAACCGTGAGTAGTTTCTTGCTTGCAGGTGTATTAATGGTTGTTTTCGTGTTTATTTAATATATCTATGTTGCACATGTTTCAGCTTATGCCTCTTCCCATATATATTTGTGCCTATTGATTTGGTGACTCTAGCTTTGCAATTTGCAGGGATGACGAGTCTACACACAGGCACGAAGGCCGAGTCGACTCACCAATGACTCTACGAGTTCGAAAATCTGTGAAGGTACATATAGCATGATGTTAAATTTACGCAATTTTTTTATTTTGAATTAGTTCAGAGTTTTTGAGTTTTTTACTGTTCAATAGAGCGGTAGTTAAAGAAGACATCTTTGTGTCCGTACAGTTGGTTGGAAATGAAAATTGCCCTGCATTAGTTGCTAATTAAGCAAACTGTATGTAGGCTTTTAATCATATTGGTTGTTTTGGAATTTCGTAAAAGATTTTTTGTATTTTTATAGGTTGGAGCACCAGGAACGTGATACTCAGTCTAAAATCTGAACACAGTGAAGAACTAAAGCATATCTAACTGCAAGCTGAAAACGAATTGAGAGAGGTTCAAATAAATATCTTTGAATTAAGTTGGAACTGCTTATTTAACTAGAGTGTTATATGCTTACGTTACAAACCAGTTTATCATTTTCATAGAAAACAACTTCAATGAGGAGCGAACATGAGGCTGAGCTGACAGGTTTATGGCTTCAGCATGAAGATGAGTGTGAGAAGATGCAGGATGAATTAGATCTTCAAAAGTCTAAAGTACATATCTACCATTAAATAATTGATATTTTTGTACCTTTTACTTACGGAAGAGGGCATTACTGCAAATGCAGTGGAGAGTTTTGGTAATAAGCCACAAGAGGACCAAGAAGTGAATTCAAAGGTTGGCTTTATAATAGATAACTCTCTCTCTCTCTCTCTCTCTCTCATATCCACAAACACAGATTAAATTACTATAAGTTGTTTAGTTGCAGTTTATTTACTCCACTAATAAAGAATTTGTTAAATTACTATAAGCTATTTAAATTTTAAATGTTTTATTTCCATTTGAAAATTTGGGAAGTTCTAGGTATGTTGTTTATGGAAGAAGCTCAATCTCAAATCCCTCAAACGATCTCTCAGTTGCCACTTTGTTTTCGTAAGTTGTGGAACTTGATTTTCTCTATTCGTTGTTGTTGAAGTAGCTAAGTCTTGAAGCTAAAATGTTGAAAGCCAAAAACATGTAGACAGGGGCAAGATTTGTGTGAACTACTGATTGAGTCTGCATTCAATTGTAACTTTTCATGCAGTTACATGCTGATGAAATAGAATTCAATTTTTTTATTCCCTTCTTTTTTTTAAATGCAATTACATTTATATGATGATTTACAGCGTATATTCATCTTTTAGTTTCTAATTCTTCATGCAGTCTAAGCCATGAAGGATTTGATAAACCCACAATTGATAACAATGTGTAGTGGCACCAACGGTTTAGGAGATCTGGTTTAGGTTTTGCAGAGAGAGAGAGAGAGAGAGAGAGTGAGAGATAGGGAGTGTTCGGAGAAATGTGGGAGGATTTAGGCGAAGGATTTCAGGGATTTGTTTAGGGTTTCTTTTCTGCGATTTGCAGACAGAGAGATGGGACAAGGGTAAGAGAGAGAGATGGGAGGATTTTCTGCGAGGGTAAAGGGAACAGAAAAAGCATTTCATTTTCCATTTGTTTCCTCAAACCCTTGGGATTTCTGCGATTGCAAAGAGAGAGAAATGGGGGTGTCCGTTAGGTCCCCTTTAATTGTCACTTTTGTGATTTGTCCACCCTTGATTGTTGTGTGATTCATTCTCACAAACGTTCTATGCACAAGGTTTCGTATTCTTCCTTCCTTTTAATTTTGATACTTTTGTGCTTAATTTCTGTTTTATTATTTGGTGATTAGATTAACAGACCTTGGCTATTTTGGTATAATAATTTCACATCGCGTGTTACCCTTTTGCATCACCTTAATTGTTCATCAGATGCTAACTTTTAATTATGTCTTCTTTGGGTCAGTCTCCATCTGGTACATTTGTCCATCCTTCTGGAGTGGAGCACTATCTTTCTGACAGCATAAATGCTCTGAGAAACTGCTATGGAGACAAACAGTTGTTTACTCCATTCTAGGTATGTTTTTCTTTAGTATTTTAGAGGGATTCTTAACTATTCCCCATTGTAATCTTTACCTTTGTATCTGTCTCTCTCAAAAGACGATGAGAGTAGCAACTGTTGCAAAGCAAATTCTCAGATGTATCTAAGCATATACATAGATTGGACAAAAACCGAATCTTAAATTGGGGCAGTGTATGTGAATGCATGCAGTGTGGTTAGGTTCATTCCCGCATGGGTTTTCGTCTTCTTTTCGTTAAATCGTTAGGTTCATTCCCACATGGGAGAGGTGTGTGTTTTTGCCATCAAACTGGTAGAGACGGATCTTAATCAAATACCATGCCGTAGTGTTATTTGGTTTGCATCTATGGAACTATATATTTACTTTGTTGTTGTTGACGGCTTCGCATGTTCTTTCCAGATAATGCTGCCTTTTTGGATTTCGTATGAGTGTCCTGCGTCGGTTCAAGACGATCAAAAGAGGGATGATCGCTGTCATTCGGACTGCGGGCGTCCACTTCAAAATCCTGGTAAACACGTCATTTTCTTGATTTTAGGCCATGCAAAATTCATGGTGAAAAAACTGAGCTCATGTCGTTGGTTTGTGCCTCTGTCCTATTTCTTATTTATTTATTTTATCAATCCTTTTCCTTCTTGGTTCTATTTGTAGCTGCTGGTTCCGATATTTCGTTGTCCTATCTGTGCATGATATCAGTGCTGCCACTTTTCATATTCTTATCAATGCTTACATCTTCACTCTTTTCCTTCTGTTTCGTTTGCTTAACATGGTTTCAGCTTTCTGAGATTGTGTGTTTGATTAACATTTGATCGTATGGTGTTAGAATTTAAATTTGATTGGTTTTTTAAACCAAGATTGTGCGTCCTTTGATGTGGATAAATTCTGCCGCCCAAGATTTTGGTCTCTGGATTTTTCATGGTGTTATTTTTATGGCATAATCCATTGGTGTCGTGTGCATTTTTTATCAACAATAATAAGCTTTTTCTCAGTATTGCAAACAAGTTTTCTTATAATTGAAATATTTGAAATCCCTGGTCTATAATCCTCTTGATTCATGGTTTTAACGCCTCCTGATAAAATAACCACAACGTTATCACTTCTTTCATCAGATAGATTTAAACATTCTATCCATTATTGAGTTTCTTTAACGAGTCTCACCCATTTGTCATAAAATTAGATGAGGTGACTTCATACCATCTCAGAGTATTGTCGGAATATAATATGATATTTGATTGTTTCTATTTTTTTTTCCCACGAGTCCCAATTTGTATTTGAAACAATGTCTAATAAACTTACCAGATCTTCATCGCTTATCATACTATTACAGGTTTTGTTTTAAGGTTCTGATGGATAAAGAAAAAGCTCCTACCAATTTAGCAGTGAACCAAGAATTCAGGGCTTTTATTAATGACATATCACATGCCATTTTAAAGGTAAATCTAGATGCCAATCGCTATGCAATTTAGTTTTACTTTTAGCATGTTCCGAGGGACCTTTGAATTTAAATGTTTAGTTGTTTTCATTTTACTATCTTGATAGGTATGTGTGTATTACCATTCTGTTTATCCCCATTCTCTGGTGGTGATTACTGCATTGTTTCTACACAATCTTTATTGGTTCCATTGCTGGACATAAAAGAAATTTCGACTATTTTTTTTTCCTCCTTTTTTTTTTTTTTTTTTCTGCATTTTCGATTATAGTTTGCTTTGTGCTGGATGTAAAAGGTTTTTCTTCAATGATTATATATACTTCAATACATGGTGGTTTACTGCATTGTTTCTACACAATCTCTATTGGTTCCATTGCTGGACATAAAAGAAATTTCGACTATTTTTTTTTTCTCCTTCCTTTTTTTTTTTTTCTCTATTTATTTATCTGCATTTTCGATTATAGTTTGCTTTGTGCTGGATGTAAAAGGTTTTCTTCAATGATTATATATAGCTTCAATACATGGTGGTTAACCATGTTTTTTACGGTGGATCACTTTCGTTGATTTCAGGTTCGACAGACAGTTGAAGAACACATATGATCACCTACTTTTTACGAGGTCCTGCTCATACTTAGTTGTTTATTTTAGCGTAGATTTTACACTCTTACTTTTAGGGTACGTGTGTGTGTAAAGATCATGCAAAACAATGTGACATTGCCTCTCCGTTTTTGGTATCTTTGTTTATCTCTCTGAGATGAGTGCATGGTGCATGTGTCTTAATTTATTCAGGTTGAATGTGTCTTATTCATGCAGTTAAGGTGAGTGCGTTCAAGTCCCGCAGCAACGCGCGGACATATTTTCTCATTACAAACTATGATGAAGGCAAGAAAAAGGAATATGCAAACCACACATAAAATATGAAATCGTCTTCAACTTCAAGTTTCCAGTTATGTGAAACTGCATCCATGAAGAACGTCATGAGCTATCAACAACTGGCTCACATAGTAATGTCGAGGAACGGGTTCATTCATTACTTCCACTATTTTGGTCGACTTAAGCACATACAATTGTTTGGCTGTAGTCTCCAACTTGATGTTATGATGTATTCTCATGCTTCAAACATTAGCTTGTCACTTTGTCTAAAACAGACATTGTACGTCATACGAATCTTTGTCCAGTTGTTATGGCAGCGAATGACGTGAGTTTCTCAGCATAGATGCCTTCACGGTGGCCACATGAAACAACTCACGTTCAGCTGCAATCAGGCTACTTGGAGTCATGGAAACATAAGCATGAATTACTCCAAGATCAACCTCATCCATCATAAGGTCTCATCTTAGTTCTCTCTCTAAGGTGACATATAAGACAATTGTGAACACGTGTATTTTATGTGCTAAAAATGGTGATTAATTGTATTACTACTTATTTAACATTTTAAATTAATTGATAATAATTAATTCTTTCGTTAATTGTATTACTACTTACTATGCCCTAATCGGCTGTTACATTTTTTTTTTTTTCAAACCAGTCAAATAAATACTACAGTTGTATTTCACTACAACAAAAGAAAAATCTCTTGCCATACGAATTTTGTTCATCGCATAAAATAGAGCTTTCGTCGGGTAGACCTGATTCGACCAATGAGGCCCCACTAAAAAATCCAAACCAACAAAAATATGTCCACGTGCAAAAATCAAATTTACCAAAAAAAAAAAATAATAATAAAAAACTTAGTTTTACTCAACGATATTTGTCATTGGGTAAAGGTATTTAATATTAAAAAATTTTAAAATATATTAAAATATAATATAATATAATTTAATTTCTTTTATTAATATCTTAAGAAATTTATTTCATTAATAAAACACAATGTTCGTACAATTATATTGAAATTGAAAAACAAATTTATTCACGATAAAAATTTGCTTCACCCCAGAAGATATCCATTTCCAGATTTTATAAATTTTGAAAACAAGCGCTCAGCCTAGTAGTTGGTGGGAGTCTATACCCGAGAGCTCACCTGTCAGCTTTTATGCCTTGTCATAGACTTTTTGTCTCCTATCTAACTATCATTCTGCTCATAATCGACATCTGAATAGGCATGACTTCTCAATTCTTGGGTTCTCGTGCCTAAAAGTTGTTAGAGATAACTTTGCCCTTCGGTGCTCTTAGGGATTTCTTGGGGAAGTGTTCGGATTGACTAAAGACTGGGCACTCAGATGCTTTGGACCTTGACTTCCTTCGGGCTTGTGTTCCCTTGAGCCTAGTGGCGGAGCCATGAATTTACGGCAATGAGATCAAAAAATAGCTTTAAAAAATCGATCATACTTTCATTTAAAAATAGATTTCAAACTTAAATCCCAAATCCCACATACACCTATAGCTCTCACTCAAACAAAGAACAAGTAGAGAACACGAAAATACATAACAAATTTCTCTAGCACCAATATGATTGATTGCTCGAAGGAGAGCAAAAAATGAAGCAATCCAACAAGAACACTAAAACAGCAACTGCTGGCTTCTCTAAATAGTGCCCCATGTTTTTCTCACTCTCTGCGTCAGCTTCTCTCTCAAAATGGTAGAGCCAACTGCACTCTTTTTCAAATGGGGGAATCAAATGCTCTCTCCGGTGTGGCTCTCATCTCTCTCCTTTGCTCACAAATTGGAGCTGTCGACAGACAACTCTTCTCTCTTCTGCTGCTGCTCAAAACAAAAAGGTATTACAAATGCCTTAATATAAATTGGATGTTGCCAGAACAAAAGGCTCTGCCTTCTCTCCCATTATAAAACCGAAGTCATCAGCCTTTCTTTTTCTTTATTTTTCAAAAAACCAAAGCAATGCCTCTTCCCATTTTTTCTCTTCTTTGCACCAAAAGAGTGGCCCAACAAACTTATTGGGTTACATGAATCCCATTGCACCCACCTTGGCTCCGCTAGTGTCCGAGCCTATTGGAGTTTAAAAGGACCATGTGTCAACAATCATTATTAGAGTAGTACTAGGTAGATTAAATTTGAAAAATTAAATGATCTGTCATCAATAAGAAATAAGTACGTTAATCAACACTTAAGTAATAATCTAATCATTAACTTCCGTATCATTTAGTTTACTAAATTTTATCTACAAATTTAGTCTTCCTAACATTACCCTAATTATTATGATGACTACTACATTTGGTTTCAGTCAATTACTAGTTTTCTTATCGTAATTGTTCCAAAATTTCGATATGTATGATTTCAAGTTTAAAAACTTTTGAGGAACCTGTAGATTTCATTTTTGATGCTTTAATCGAGGATCGTCATAATTGTTGAATGTTTCTAGCATGAGCTTATTGGAGGTTGTTCACATTAACCCTACTTCTCTTGCTAGATTATGTAATCTCCTCGTTTATCAATGAATTCATTTTTCTTCAAAGAAAAAGTTTAGACAAGTTTTAATATCATTTTGTCAAGGAACAAATAGGATCATTTTGTCAAGGAACAAATAGGATTAGGGAACAAATTCAGAAGGAAAAAAAAATAATAATACTGGCCAATCCAACGGTTTGATTTTTCTCGCACTATCCAAATTAGGGTGGGTACGGACTGGGCCTAAATTTGGAGGAATCGGACCAAATTTGTTTTAAACTAAAATGGGATCGGGGAAGCCGAGCACAAAAATTTTGAGTTTTGAAATCGGATCTAACCTTGCTGGTTTCAAACGGAACGGTTCGAACCAGATTCAAGAGTATGAGACAATTTTTTATTATTATTTTCAAAACAGATTTTTTGGATATTGGATTGGTGTAGTACAAAGTTGAAGTATTGGATTTTGGATTAGTGTAGTACCGAGTCTAAGTACTGAAAATGGAACAAAATATTGATCTGAGTTGTATTAGTTCATCAGGATTTGGAATTAGAATAAGAGAGAGGGCACCTGGTTGTATAGTATGGGTTGAAAGAGAGAGAAAGCTAGAGAAATCGAAATCTGCGAACTAGGAACGATTTTGGAGGGAATGATGCAGGAAGAGAACCGTAGTCGTTCGACTTCGTGCCTTCCGAGTACGACAGAGACTGATTTCGAGGGAGTGAGGGAGAGGCACAGCTGCAGAGGGACTGAGAGACTCAACGGCGAGGATTTAATCAACATATATAATACTAGAAACCGCCCCCGCCCAGCCTGTTTCATCAAGCACTTGGATCCACCCTGCCCTGTTCCGTTTGATATTTATAATATTTGGATCGCCCCGGACCCGTCCCCATTGATGTTTATAATATTTTGATACGCTCCGATCCGCATAGACTTGCCCCGATCCCCATGTCCTGGCCCCATTTGCCCACCCTAATCCAAATTGCTGAGCTTTTTCCTAATTGCAAGGGCGGGGCATCAGTGCCTCATTCCTAAATCCTGACGTCACATAGCACTCGGACGCAGGATCGACCAAATATTTTGCTTTTTGGACAATAATGAGAAAATTGGTTGTGGGTTGTGCTTGCTTTAAAGGTTATAGATTAAAATTTTAAATTAAATGATTTGTCATAAATATGAATAAACGCGTTTATTAACGTACAAGTAATAAATCAATTATTAATTTTTATGTTTTTTAATTTTTAAAATTTTACTTACAAATTTAGTACCTTGCTGCCGCCGCCAAATTGCCAATCCAAACCACCCTTCGGTTCCAATTTCTTCAGCTGTCAAGTAACCACTTCGCCTTCTCCAACAGCCAAACATGTTTCTGAACAATCCGACTAATATCCCACACCCACTTCTCTCTCCCCCCTAAAACCCTAGTCTCCCCTCCTTATCCCCCACTCCAACACCTCTAATTTTGTCCCACCCAATAACAAACACAAGAAAAATCCCAAACAAGAAAATTATAAAAAATCCTGTATAATAATTTCCAAATTTCCCCAATTTCAAAGCTTTGACAATAAATTTTATTCATTTCTTGGCCGTTTGATTCTCAATTAGTTCATTTTTCGTTCTGGGTTTTGTTCAAATTCTGTTCTTTGATTGTAATTTACCGAAATGGCGCTCGAGTCTTTTATTCTAGCTCCAATAAGTTCATTTCCGGGTCGAAATCATGGAATTTCTTGTGTTGCAATGGGCAAACAAGGTTTCCGGTGAAGGTTTTGCCGCAAAATAACCGGTACCCATTTCGATTTGGGCCGAATTGTATCGGTGGTGGCGGTTTTAAGAAGTTCTTAGCTCCAAGGTTAGAAGGAGTCGACGTGGTGGTTAATAAAGCTCGTTTGGAAGCTCTAGGCGAAGATAGTGGGAGTGTGGGTGGTATGAATGCTGTTTCGGGCTCAAAGTTTGATTTCGTTAAGGAATTGGTGAAGTGCGGAGTTGTTTTGGCAGCTGTGATTTGTGGGGTTTTAATTTATGGGTGTAGAAGAGCTTTTGCTGTGGAGGGTGTGATCAATGCAGGCTATGGGGTTATTGGGCAGAGCATATTGTTGCTGAGGAATGCCTGGCCCAAGACATTGCTGGTTCTTCAGGTTTTCAAGGAGCAGGGTCTGATTTTGGCCGCGCTTTTGGGTCTCTCGGCGTTTTTTTCAATGGCGGAGACTTCAATTACAACGTTGTGGCCCTGGAAGGTATGAACTTGTTATATTCTGTGAATGCTTATATCATAGGCATTGCAAAGGATTGTTTTTTATTTGTTTGGATAGTGAATTTCTCACCCCCTACTGGGCATTGCAAAGGATTGTTTTTTATACTTGTATGCTGTATTATTAGTCTATGCCTAAGGCTTATTTTTCAGTTTATGTTTGTGCTAGTTTCCATTTCTGGTTTGATATCACGGTCACGTGAAGTAGTAGAGTCGGGCTCTGCTCTGCCTAGATTATGGTGGCAATTGCGTATTTGACCGTGCAACAAATTTTTGCCTAAACTTGCCAATTCAATCAATGATAAACTTCATTTCATGCATGCGAGTTAACATTGTCTGTGGTTAACGTCACTTGTAATGAGACAATTCTTGTAAATGGTATCTAGTTTGTAGAGACTTAAGAAGCTCAATATATTATACCATTCTTCTTTTTCAAGACACTCATTATTAATTGGTGCTTTTGTGCTTATGTAATTGTGAGTTCGAAGTATATGAATTCATCTTATGATCTTCCTACTAGAATTTTGAAAGAAAGTAAATGATTTGCCACATTAGGATCTTCAAATAACATTAGTTAACTGATATTAATCTGTGTCAGGTGCGTGAGTTGGCTGAGAAAGAGTACTGAAAATGGCGTCTTCAAATTGCTTCGCAACGATGTTACTCGGTTCTTGACAACCATACTTATTGGCACAACGTACTTATCTTCTCGTTTTTGTTTGCATTAATTTTTCTATTCTTTCATCGTGAAGTTGAACATTTCTTTCTTATTGTAGAATTTACTTATGTACTCAGTGTTGTCAATATTGGAGCAACTGCTTTAGTTACAGATGCTGCAACGGCAATATTTGGTGAAGCTGGTGTCACCGCAGCAACTGGAGTAATGACTGTATGTCTCATTTTCCTTGCTTGATCAATTAATAAACATAGACGTGGAAGTATAGGGTAGAGAGAGACTGAACTTATGATTTTTGAAAGAGTTGATTATTTCATTAAAAAGAATGATATTTCTACTGCATTGAGTTTGACTTTTGCTGAAAAATAAGTCTAAAATCAGTGTTTATCAAAGGCCAGACGCTGCTTTACACATTTAAGGAAATAATTTAATAGTGGATTTGATGTTTAATACTGTTTGTTTTTCTTGATAATGAAAGGTTGCTATTTTGCTCCTCACTGAAATAACTCCAAAAAGTGTTGCTGTTCACAATCCCACAGAGGTTGCTAGGTTTGTGGTAAGTTAGAAATTGCTCTAAGTTCAGCTGAAACCCTCCTGTGACCACTAGTTACACATCTTTGACTTTTGTTTTAGACCTTAAGTTGCTTGCTGGTTTTGCACTTAACTGATGTTACTCCTACTTCTTTTGAATGTTGGGTGTGATGCCCCCAGGTTAGGCCAGTGGCGTGGCTTTCTTTGGTATTATACCCCGTGGGGAGAATTGTTACATATCTATCGATGGGGATGCTAAAAATACTCGGATTAAAAGGAAGAAGGTTCACTTTTTTGATAACCGAAGTTTGAATTCTCCCTGATTTTCATTTGTCATATTTATTTCTTTGTGGCTTATAGACATATTAGTCCATATAGTAATTTAAAAATATTGTTTTCCAAAGGAGTAGGAAAGATGATAAGTCAGATAATGGGTAGGTTGGAGTCATCTTTCAGTGTTAATCAAAACATTGCTTGCCGATTGGATTTATAAATGGTTAGTGGTGGTTGTTGAAAGAAACAGAGTATATGTTTTACCATCTAATGATTTGAATGCATCTGACAATAAAAATTCCTTAATTGTTTTATTAGGAACATCAGTTATCTGCTGCAAATTGTATGCGTTTAATGTAGTCTCTCTCCTACATTAACTGAAAAGCCTCTTCCTTTACTAAATCTTTCACTCTCATTTTCCCATCTCCTAAGTGTCTTGACTAGTACTCTCTTCTCGGTTAAAGGACAGAAGCTGTAGACATTTCTACAAAGTTAAGGAGAGTGCCATAGGGAAGACTAGTCACATAAATAACTATATTTCATTAAACTGATCGTATGAATTTAGTACCATTCAATGATATGGTTTCTATATTTCTGTTTATGTTATCTCTTATAAGATGATGCATAATCGCCTTTTTAAATGCGTTGTCAAGGCACTGGAGTCTGGAGAAATGCTCGAGGGCTTTTTCTAGTTATAAATTTATGTCTGCCTTTGAGAATGTGGCTTACTCTTTCTTCTGTTAGGCATCTGTAGGAAATCTTTACCCTAGAGCTGTACGTATTCTACGGATGTGCCATTTGGCTTAAGCTTCTCAAAAGAATAAAAAGAAAGGCAAAGAGGAAGCATCTTCAGTATCTAACAGCGCTTAATGGTTTATGTTTTTGGAGAATTTTAAACCATTGTACTTTATCATAGTGTCATATTGAGTAAGCCACAGGCCAACAGCCACATGTACTCACTCGAATACAATTCATCCTCCCTTTTGTCTTTAGTCAGGCCATACGAATGGGTGTGTAGATCTAAGCTTTGCATTACTATACAGAATCTATATTTATTGTTAAAGTTAAATGGAACATGGTGTCAAATATGGAAATCCACATGCCAACCCAACGACCACACATACTCCATATTACCCAAGACATGTTTGGGTCAGTCTAACCACATTTGAAGGGGGCTTGCTGATAATATAGAATCCCAAATCAGAAAAATATTAGCATTGCATTATAACATATTATATGATTCAGGGTCTCCACCTCCACCTAGCTATGGGTTAGATGCTCTAAGTTTAACAATATCTTTGGATTCTTTTCTCATTTGTTTGTTGATAGCAAGTGGTCATCTACCATGCTAGAATATAATGGAGGGTGTTATCTTTTATTTAACCTGACAATATATTCTGGTGCACCTTCATTTTGTTCTTTTGGTAATGAGTTTACCTTCACTTTATGGATAGTAAAGAATTACGTCTATGGAATATTCAAGTTGTGTTGTTAATGTTATTTACTTAGAAAATGTTCTCAAAAAAAGTTATGCCCTTGTTTACACCATTTTTCTTTGATCAGTGAACCGTATGTTACTGAAGAGGAGTTAAAACTGATGCTGCGGGGGGCAGAGTTGAGTGGGGCAATAGAGGAGGAAGAACAGGTAGTGCAACAGTGCTTTTTATTTTTTATTTTGTTGAAAAATATTTTTTGGTAGGGAATCACTTGCAAGGTGAAAAACAATTTTTTTTTTCTTTTTTTGAATGCTAATTGTGAAGAAAGATGTTTGGTTAAATACACCTTGAAATGTCGAGGACCTTCTATATCTGGAGAGAAGAGACATAGTGGGATGGGGTGGGGAAATAAGTTTACTAGTTGTCCAGTTTCTTTATTTAAGACACATTTTTACGGGAAAATAACTCCTTTTGCAGGATATGATAGAAAATGTGTTGGAGATTAAAGACACACATGTTCGAGAGGTGATGACGCCTCTCGTAGATGTAGTTGCCATCGATGCCAGTGCAACGCTAGTTGATTTTCATGACTTGTGGGTAACTCATCAATATTCAAGGTAATCCAAAATTTTAGTGGTGCACTGAATAGCTTTTTCATGGCTTCTGCTGATAATATTTTGAACATTCTTCTAGGGTACCTGTTTTTGAACAGCGAGTTGACAATATCGTAGGAATTGCATATGCAATGGATCTACTGGATTATGTTCAGAAGGTGAGACAATTTGTACTCTTATTTGTCCCTCTGTGATATCCATTTTTTTAATTAATTGAATAAGCAATCTCACAGTGTGCAGAACTGTAAATATGTTTGCTTTTGAAGGGTGAGCTACTAGAAAGTACTAGTGTCGGGGATATGGCTCAGAAACCTGCTTACTTTGTGCCCGGTAATCATTTGTATTATGCCAATTTAATTACATGTTTTCTGAATTAAATATTCATTGTACATTGCTGCCTCTTTGTATCTTCTGCATTTATTACAGTTAGATTTCCTTGTTTTTTGTCTTACATATTAAAGTTTAAAACCATTTCTGGAAATAAAATGGCAGCATGTTAAATCAAATCCTGGTGTGGGGGTTGCTTAGTTTATTGCCTGGTTTGGTACATAGGCCTCATTCCAGAAAAAAGTCTATGGGGATGTTATAAGGTTTAAATCCCTAGGAGCCCACTCGACTGATCAGCCTACATTGAGTTCCACATGCTCTATCTCACAATGAGGAGTCATTGAAGGAAATACATGAATCAGGACTCTGAACTAATGTCGGCACATGATACTAGGCCAATTGATTTGTGAAGTTTTGCCACCCTTAGTTTTAAAGTTTTGAATTTGTTATTGTGCATAGTATAAAGTTGGGATAGCTCTTTAAGAAATTATAGGCTGTTTATGGTCAAAGTTGTCTGGAATGCTGTATGCCATCTGGTTCCAATTTTGTTTTACCTGTGTGCTTACATGGTCCTTGCTTTCTATGGTCTCTTTTGCAGATTCAATGTCCGTTTGGAATCTCCTTAGGGAGTTCCGCATTCGAAAGGTTCACATGGCCGTAGTTCTTAACGAATACGGTGGAACTGTAGGGGTGTGTTCTTTCTTTCATCATTGAATTTAATATGACCAATGTTTCTGTTAAAAATTCACCAAGTTGCGCAGCATCTCTCTAACTTGTTTTGTGGTGAAACAGATAGTAACCCTGGAAGATGTGGTTGAGGAAATTGTTGGGGAAATATTTGACGAAAATGATTCAAAAGTAATTCTCACTACTAGTGGTTGTGCTCCTTTTCCAATTTTTTGTGATATGTAATTCAGTTACAAAAGCACTATGGGGGCACATATATGCGTAAGTAGAATTGGTCGAAATTTATCATATCAAAAAGCTAAAAAATCAACGAAAGTTAAGCGAGCGAAAGAAAATTTCTTGTCCCTGAAAATATTATCCTTGTGGTTTCACTTGATACAGGGAATGAGCACAACTTTTGTTAAACCATAAACACACAAAACTGTGCTTCTCAATATAATAATAACGTCTTTCTCAAGAAATAAAATAAAGTAAAATGTAATAGTTAAAAAGCAGAACGGTTCTGCTGGCTGGTTACCATAATATTTTTTAACTTTCTGACTGAAATTATTGATGCTTGAACAGGAGGAGATTCAGAAAAAAACTGGCTACATTGTGATGCGTGCAAAGGGGATATACGATGTGGATGCAAACACGTCTATTGATCAACTCTCTGAAGATCTAAATGTCAAGATGCCAGAGGTATCTTTGAAAGTTTTGAACTCTGAATATTGCTTACGAAATTTATATACGTTGGATCATTCTCATTTTTCTGCATAATTGCTTGTATGTAGTTGTATTTTTTGATACGTAAAAATATATTTGAAAGCACTTGGGTCTCAGGGGCGACACCCTAGTTCCCAAAAGGAAATTAATATTTTAGGGAAATAAAATAAAATAAGAAACAGGAATAAAAGAGTGAGGTCCGTACCCAGTCCACTAATCCTGTCCTAGACTGAATTTTTTAGGCCATCAAAGGCTATCTGCTTCAACTCAAACCAAGGGCTCATTGAAAACTAATGCCTAGCCTTCCACGACTTATGTTTAGGAAGCAACATTTGCACGGCACACAGATAGCGCAACAAATTCTGTTGAACTCTTGCATGAGAAACAACTATTAACAAGAAACTGGCTCTGTTTCATATAGTAGTCCATTAACGATCTTCTGATGAATAGCTGTCCACATTGGAAGTTGCATTCTTACTCACCTGTTACTTTACAAAGATGGTCTTTCCTTGTTTTGAATTAGAGCGCACGTTATAGGTATGCATATTCCCTCCCTGTAATTACATCTTACACGCAATCTCTTTCGTTCTTATGCTCACCTGATACATATGATTATGAGTTGAGAACTGAACTGTATTACTTTACAAAAGCTTATTAATTCTGCTCATTGTTGATTATCAAAGAATAAAATCGTACTAAAAGATTTGTTTCCCCAATTGTCATCTGATTTCCTTTTCAGTACTGACAATTTGAAAAGTATTAAATAATTTGCATCCTATGTTTGACATATCGTTATTCAATTTTCACATGTATCTTTCACCTGTTTACAGGGTCATCAATATGAGACTGTATCAGGTTTTATATGTGAGGCATTTGGATATATCCCAAGGACGGGTGAGAGCATTAAAATTGTTCTTGAGAATGAAAATGACGAGGAGATTGACGAGACCAAGTCTGACAATCAGGATAAAAATGAAAAGCACCAAATTTTTAAAATTGAGGTATCATGTTGAATATTTTGCAGCATTAGTTCAAGGTCTGACTATTGTTACAAGCACGTTAAATTATTGATGGTTTAGAGTTAGGGTCAATCATGTATTTGGTGGTTGTAGGGGCTAACTTTGGTTTCCATTGGATTAACTAGTATTAAAAAAGAGTTATCCTTTACTCGGATACAGTAATATCGATGTTAATATTGTTTTTTGGACCAGATACTAGCAGGAAATGCCAGAAAGGTTGGTGCTGTTCGATTTGAAAGGATAGAGAACGATGCTGCTACATTGGAGACCGACGAGGTGACCCGCTTGGTTCCCAAAATCATGAAAAGAAAGTGGAGTGGTGATCAGGACTCAGACGGTACAGACTATGACGAGGATTCATTTCAGAAGAGACCACAGAATACCATATCTGATGAACATGAAGACGCTGTTGATAATGTCAGTAGACATTAGTTGCATTTCTTGCGATTTGCTTTTTGACGGAATCATACAAGAGGTAAAGATTGAGAACAAAATAACAAGAATCAGGAAGGAACACTGTAAAAAGATTCAAAGTTTTGAGTATCAATATCTGGCATTTAAGGACCAAAATTTTCCCAACCGGGACTCATTTGATCTCCAGAAAAGTGTGAGATGTACACAGAGCCATCTTTGTGGGAGATAACCTAGGTTGATGGAAGGATCAATTTAGAAAACAAAACCAAACTAGCTGATTTGTATCGTCACTGGATTGACCTTCTGGTTTTGTTATTAGCGTTGAACTCCCCCTACTGTCGAAAATAATAGATGAAACAACTGGTGGTGGTCGCTTCAGTGCCTCCCGCCATGTCGATGAAGACCTGTAACTTGCCAATAAAGATGGGGAGTGCTCTTTGGAAAAGACAGGTTTTGCATATTCTTGCCATGTTACGAAATGATTAAATTATTAATTTTCGGTTGTTGAATCGAATGAGTGGAAAAAAAATCAAAAGATAAAAACTAACAGGGTGTGTATGAGGTAAAAAAGTGTGGATACACCACCAATAAAAAATCAAAACAATACATACCACCAATAAAAAATCAAAACAATACATTGCTCTAACTGTTAAAATAAGATCGAACTATTCCTAGGCAACAGGGAAATCAAAAGTTGTATCCCGACGGATGGTAGACAATAACGAAATAATAAAGCAAGTGGTGAATTGTGGTGGATAGCATCTTCTTCAACGGTTCAACTCACTGCGAATTGTGGTGGATAACATCGTCAACGGTTCAACTCTTTATGTTTTTAGTGAAGGAAGTTGAGGTTTCATTATAAAATCAATTGTAAATGTTAGGAGTTACCTAAGTGAAAAAAGTTGAGGTTTTACTATAAAATCAATGGTGAATATAGCGAGTGGCCTAACTCCATATAAAATATATGAACAGTACATATTGGATGACGTAGAGTACATGCAGCCAAACTAAAACACTCCGACTTAGATCTCTAGGTACACACCAAAATCAAGGCATATTGACCAACAACCGAAAGATGACGAAACCATAAAATGGAAGTGATCGATAAAAAGTACGAACAAATTAAACTAAGAGTATAAAAATAAGAGTGAGAGTATACCGCGCAATTTGTGTGGTGAACCATAAATAAATATATGTAATGGAAACATAGATACCAAAATGACATAAGAGCAATCATAAAACCAATTTCGAAAACCTAAGATCCGGTGCCAAACTGGCATAAGGGCAATCATAATGCACATCGACCCCAAATATCAGGTGGACACCTGAAATAATGCACACCGACCCAAATATCAAGTGGACACCCGAAATTGAATCATTGGCCTGCATAATGCACACCGTCCCAAATATCAGGTGGACACTTGGAAAATGCACACTGACCCAAATATCAAGTGGACACCTGAAATCGAATCATTCAGCTACATAAGTGGGACAACCTATTCTGATACAATAAAGAAATTTGAGGTTTCATCATAAAATCAAAGGAAAACTAATGAAAAGAGTTTTAAAACTTTGAGCTTTAATGAAAATGACAAAATAAAGGGTAAAGTGAATGATACCATGATTGACTTGTTAGTCTAAAAATGTAGTTTTTCGTTAAAATGAACAGTACTGTTGGAAAATAGGAACTAGGCTAGATTGTCCTGTGAATTTCCTTTGAGGTTGTACTCTGTAGTTAATGATATTGCAACCATATATTGTAGGTTAGTATGTATGAGTTTTCTTCCATAGGTGGTAAGTTTCTCCATAAATAATTTTTTCATAAAGAAATATCTTCCATGTGCTTTTCTTAAGAAGTCATTATAGTTGTCACTTAGTATTATGGTCTACTAGTATTCCTCCACTTGTAAGTGAGATTCGTCTTAGGTTCAAAGCTCGTTGAATGCGAGTTTGATACAAATTTACTCAAGTCTTAAGCTACTTGGGATTCATCTGTAAACTACGCAGATCGGCCTGGACTTGGAAAGGAGCATAAGATACTGCTTCTGATCAGACATATTATAATTACATTGTTAATGCTTCTCCAATATAACAAATAGATCGAACGAGAACAATATAATTAACAAGAACAGTACAAATTAAGCGATGAACCATCAGTACATAGAGGTTCTTCAGCTTCAAAGACGAAGAGAAGTGTCGACATCTGAGTCATCGAAATTGTTTGTTCTGTCCATGACTGCAACTGAACTTGAACATACGTTCCTCATGACTCGAGTCTCATCAGAAACCTGCAGATAACTAGATTGCTTGCTCTGCAAGTTAGGGTGGAGGCACATTGAGTATTGGGGTGGGTGAGGTTGTCTTTCATAATTGTGAGAAGCTGTCCATCCAGAATGGAGAAACAACCCAGTTGGCTCGTAATATGCTGCCGGAATAGAAACCCTTTCTGATCCATGTATCATCCGCCTCAATAGCTCTCTCTCTTCCCTAATCTCCTTTTCTCTCTGTAATTTCTTAAACCTCTCTTGCAATAAGGCAATGGAAGAATGAACAACTGTGCCATCTTTGCCTTGCCTAGCCATAAAGAGGGGACTGATTAGATTTCAATTGCCTTTTGAGGTGACCTTGTGGGGGGTTGTATACCTATATATATAGGACATGATGAGTCATTAGGAAAATGTTTATTTATTTTATTAAAATTAGGCTGCCATCCATCAGATTCTAATGATGTGAACAAAGAAAGAAGTATCTGCTGCTGTGCTGCAAAGTCCAAGAAGGCAAGGCTTGGTAACTAAATAATCTCATACGTTGGGTTGATAAATGGGAGGAGAGGCCGCAGAAAGCCTCAATTGGGAGAAAATGGTGGGGATAAGAGTCCAAATGGTGTGTAAGGTAGCTTTTGGAAATCTTTTTGGAGGAATATATGGATGGGGTGATGCTTTGTCTGCTTGTCTCCAAGAGTTGATGTGGCTAGCTTTGGAGAAGATGTTGCCTTTTTGGTGAGGCTTTGGGGGATCTTATTATTATTCTTTTCGAAAAATATCAAACGAGTACGAGTAAAAAGTCATTCCTCTTTACAGACATCCTCTTACATACATATTACATTTTTTGACAAGTGTAATTGTTTTTTTTTTTTTTTTTTTTTTACACTTTTCCTCAAACATTTATGTATTCATACATCAAACTATAACTTACAAGCAAAAATAAATGATTATTACAAGTAAAAGGCAAGAAGTGTTCATGATTCTCAAGTATTACACCAATAGACCTTCTCATTGTAACTTAGTGGAGTTAAAAGAAGGGATTTATTTGTTTTTTATTTTTTTATTTTTTGAAATTTTATATGAACCTTACGGATTTGACTACAATACATATATGTAACTAATACAATTATCATCTTGTAACTTAGTGGAGTCAAAAGAAGGGATTTTTTATTTTTATTTTTATTTTGTTTTGAAATTTCATATGAACCTTACGAATTTGACTACAATACATATATGTATATAATACAATTATCATCTTGACGGTCAAATGATAATTATATTAAATGTAAATATTGTAGCCAGTACTTGAACTTATATACCTTTTTCATTTGTTATGTTAACAAAGTATTAAAGGAATTGTCATCTTAGTTTTTGAAATTCCTAATTTATTCAAAGTTGTTTTGGACTTTTCAAACTCCTTCTCACAAGTTCTTTATTATATGAATCCCCACTTTCCCATTATTCCAACTGACACAACGTTGCATCCTTGTGCAAAATGACGAGAGAGAAACGCGGAACCTCTCAGGGGTTCCCATTTTTCATGGTTCTCGGATGGTAGTTTAGTAGCTTTCATAGGGTTATTTTGAATAGAAAATTTGATGGAGGTAGTACCTTAGCGTGAGATGATAAATTAAGAATTTTGGAAAATTTTGATTAAAAATTCTCCAATGGCAGAGTTAGAAAATTTTTATCAAGTGGGCTAGCTTAAAGATTTAAATCTTTATAAACAAAGAAATATTTTTACAATATCAGCTAGTTTAAGAAAATTTTCACAAGGTGAGCCAAGAATTTTCGTTATTCAAACAAATTCAAACTTGTACATGTACAAAAAGCGAAGAGAAAAAAATGCAAGAAAAAAGATGGTTTGTAAACTGTATTATATAATTAAACCGAAAGAATTCAAATCAGTAACTAAATATATGGTAAGCTACATTTGAAAATCAATAAAAACTACATGTAAAACTTTATTTTCTACCGAAGGCTGTCTGAGCAAAAGCCCGGGTAGCCCTTAATGTGGCTCTGCTGGTGCAATTCTCTTAAAAGTTTAACTGAAAGAAAAAAGTGGAAAGACATACTAGAGAATAGAGCAGGGAATGAGGACTGACAAGAGTTGAATGAAATTAGTTTTGGGGTACGTAATTAATTTGAAATTTGATTTTTTCTTGATTGTTTTGTACCTTTTCCTAGAGAGGAGAGAAAGAGAACATACCAAAAGCACAATTAAATCTAAAACATGTCCCTCCATTCAGAGTGGGAAAGGCTCCTTTTTCTCTTCTTAACTTTCTGCTTTGTTTTCAAGTTGTTGGATGAAAATGCATCATGGCTGGTTCTGCTTTGAGGGTTCTATTTAACGCCACAAGTCCATTGGTTAGTCGTTAAAAGGGTTAAACCAAATGAAGTGAGTAAAGAGTCAATATAAAGGCTCGTTCTTCAAGATTTTATGGTTTAAGAAAATAAAAATATTTTTGCTTACCATCCTTAAGTAATGATAATATTCACCATTCTATTTATTATCGTTCAATGAGTTACATTTGAGATATGTGTAGTGGATAGATAGAAATCTCAGAATTTAAATTCATCCAATAATAAGAAGTAGAGCAACACCACCTCTTGAAAATAGTAAGTAGAAATGAATCTTAAGAAAATTGTGATCATATACCGTTCAACTTAATTCAATGGAAGATAAGAAAGTAGAACTAAGGAGTTAAATAATAACCTATGGTTGGATCAATATTAACTTTGGAGTTTGGACAACCACAATTTTCTTAAATCATGAGCTCTAGGAGCAGAAGACTGATATAATCCTAGTGGCGCGTGTCCAAAAGGCAAAGCTAGCTATACTATGATATCAATGTAGGTATATATGCTATGATTTTGTATAGTATTTTAGTAAAAGAACATTATCTTGTACAGTTCAAGGTAATCAAACAGAAAAACATTCCTCCGATACAATATCCAAAAATTTGTGAAGCACAATGCATAAAAAGTTGCAAAGGAACGCTTTTGATCTTGTCGATACAATATGTAACTGCTAGGTTAATTAATAACATGAATATGCATGATCATTTGGGAACGCAACATGCTATGTTCGTTCATATATATATAGACCAAACCCTACCGGCGAACTTGTTGTGTGAAGGTAGACCCGGTTTTGATCCAATGTCATTTGTATAGTAATATTGAGCTTAAGGAAGCATACTGATCCAAATACATATTTTTACTTCTTACACATTTTTCTCAATTTTCAATTGTCAGATTGAACGAATTGAAAAACATTAACAAAGATGTGTGAATAACATTTCTCAATTTTCAATTATCAGATTGAATAAATTAAAAAGATCAATGACCAAACATTAACAAAAATGTGTGAATAACACTATTACTTGAAAAAGTAGCAAAGGAGCAACCACTTGCAACTGTCTACAACCATCTGGAGCGAATAATAGATGGCGAAATAGTGCTTTTGCTCACCCCGCACCCCCCACCCCCCACCCCCCCCCCCCTTCTTTTTCTCCTTTTTTTCACCCCAACCAACCACACAAAAATTCAAGATAACCGTTGTGCTTTAAAAAAAAAAAAAATTTGAAAATTTTGAGTTTTAATCAAAATGACAAAAAGGTGTTGTAAGTGAATAGTACCAGAAATGACTTTTTAGAGTAAAAATGTCATTTTTGATAAAAATGAATAGTACTAAAAGTGTTTCGTTAAAACTTCATTTTTAGAATCATGTCATGTGTTCATTTAACTAACCATGATTACTTCATACATTTAATCAAATCTTTATGAAAAAGAATAACAATTAAAATAATATTTTATACATTTGTGAGGAGTGTAGAATAAGATTTTTAAAGTGCCAATAACAATTCCCTAAAAAAAAATCCTATCAATTGAACAATTGATTTTTTATTTTGTTAGATTTGATATTAGATTAGCCACTGACAGAATTTGGACCTACGCCATTATGTAATGACTTAACTCCTTTCCACCACCGTGATAAAGGGTCACTTGCCGATTGAACAATGGATTGAATTATTATCCTGTTCCTGTTCCTCTCTTCTCGGCTAAAGCAAAATCTTTTCTTAATAAAGAATTCAATTCAATCCATTGATGCATTTAATACAAGTAAGTGAGAGGTTTTAGATTCGATTCTCACAAAAAATGAATTTAAATCACATAATTACTAGCTCATTGTGAGGCTTAGCTCGCTTATCTATTAGTGTTAATAATATCGATTGTTACAAAAAAAAAAAAAAAAAAAAAAACCCAAAAATCATAAAAGTATTAAATACATAAAAGGTGCTTTAGCCGAGAAGAGAGGAATAGAAATAGGATAAATCAGTTTGTTTAATTGATAGGATAATGATGAAGGAATAAATAGTGATTTTTTTTTTAATAAATATTGTAAGTGTTATTCTTTTGGATTAAGTACCGAAAATTCTCCAACTTTTTAGTGTTATTTTAAATTCGTCTCAATAACTTTAAACGTTTTAAACAAGTACTCAACCTATTGAAAATGTTACATTTGTTAAGCTTCAGTTTAATTTCTGTTAAATTAACTAGGCCAATCAAGGCTTTCAAGACAAGCATGAAGGTTGAGATAGGGTTTCGGTGGTCATAGGTGGGCTTGGAGGTGGTGGCGGCTTGATATTTTCGGATCTTCATTTTTCTTTTCCATTTTATTTGTGAATTTATTTATTTTTGTATTCGTCTTCAAGTTTTTTTTTGTAGTTACTTCTATTATTATTTGTGTCCAAGTATGCTAAAAAGTGAGATCCATTGTTGTCACATGTATATTTAACCGGAAAAATTAATTAGAGCTAAACGGATGTGGCATTTTCAATAGATTGGGTACTTGTTTAAAATGTTTCAAAAGATTAAGAACAATTTAAAATTATACTAAAAAGTTGAGGGGTTTATTTACTTAATCCTATTCTTTTCATGAAGATTTAATTAAATGCACAAGATAACCATTGTTAGTCAATAAGACGCGTGATATGAATCTGGAGGACGGGCTTAATGGTTACCTTAGATTTAAGTGTAAAAAGCGGCTAGTCAAGGCAAATAATAAAATTTACTTTGTTGTTAAATATATCCAAGACAGATTCTCTTTTTGGGATAATTGATATTAGAGGTAAGAATATTCAAACTCAAAACCTTTGAATGCGGAGATAAATTTTTCAAATTTTTGGCAAAAATACTCACTATTTACAAATGCAAGTAAAACTACCCACTCTTTAAAACTCAACCAAATGCACTCATTTTGAGTTGTGGTAACCAAAATAAGCTCGATATACATATGGTCCCATGCCCTTCTCCAA